ACACACACACACACACACACACACACACACACACACACACACACACACACACCCCGGAAGGTTCTCACATGTTCCCAACAGAGGTGATAGGACTTGGCGACCATTACTCAAGTTCCTGCCCCCCCTGGCCAACCCATCATAGAAACGCTGGCATGCGGGTAAGTCGAGCGCTCAGGAGTCATTATGAGACGGACACTATGGTGTGTCAACGGCGCCTGCCCTGGCTGTCTCTCACCAACAATCCTCACAGCATTTTTGGAAGATGGGTCCTCATTTCACAGATCTGGAAATGGAGAGTCAGAGATGGTGTCATCCAAGAAGTCGTAGCTCTGGCCCCTGAGGAGCCAAAGTGTTGCTTTCTCTTCAAGAGCCGCTGTCACAGCTGAGGCAAGTCCAGAGGGGAAAACAAATCAGAACAGAAAGACCAGCTAGGGGGAACAAAGGTGGACTTTAGAAAAGCTACCCACCCCTAGGAAACCCTGTTTCCTTCCACGAAGTTTCGGTGGCCAGACCTGGGTAGCAGAACACTGCCATCTAGTGGTCCTGAGCCTCAATTCCCTTCCTCCAGGCAGCTCCATGGGATGGGGTCAGCCAGTCTTGATCTCATCACCACCACGCTGTGCTGGTCAGGGGTAGGTGTGCAAGCAGTGCCAGAAGGGACACTCAGCTTGCATGCCACTTGAATCAGAGGCCGGCATCTGTGGGGAACGCCAAGGGCTGTGGATGTGAGTTGAGGCCAGAAGTGGGATTGTCCTGGTAGGTGTTGAAGCTTTGCCCTGTAAGCAAAAGATCATCTTTCAGATTTTAATGCGGAGAAGAGGACACGAGGAGGCCATCGTTTCCCCACTTTGGCTTGAAGCAGGGCTCAGCTTGGCTGCGGGCTCTGTGGTGAGGTTTCTAAGCATCTGTCTCCATGGTTGGCAGCCCTCTGCGGTGGAGTCTAAAAGTCTCCTGGAGTTTGGCCTGAGGCCTTTAATGTTGGAGACGTCTGTTTGGGAAAGTTGAAAAGGAGTAGCCCACGGGATGAAGTAGGAGCCAGGCTAGGAGGGTGGAAATCCCAGGGGCAAATGGGAGGGCAGAGGGCCTGCCTGTTTTCCTACCAAGTGCCTTTGTGGGGCAGATATGCGCGAATGTGGCGGGCGGTGGGCTGGAAACTTGGCTAGAGAGCTGTCCAACAATAGGCTGAGTTATACGGACGCACGGAGTGGAAAATGATGCAGCTGTTAAAATGATGATGTAGGTAAATGTTTATTGATTTAGAAAGATGTTCACAACATATTGTTGAAAGAAAAGCAAATTACAAAATAGTTGGAGCGGTATGGGCTTGTTTTGATAAAAGTGTATTTATGTGTGCAGAAAAATCTGGCGTTGCTTACCTCCATGTGGCAAAATTATGGCTAATTAAATATTTATATTGCTTATATGTATTTTCTGATTTCTCTACGGTGAATGTGCAGTAAAACACTAATAGTGAAAGTTTGTATATCAACTGCAACCAAAAAATGTCTTTCTTGGGTCTCCATGCACTAAGAGCCCTTGAGAGAGTATAGCAACGCTCCAAAAGCGTTAGGGGTTAGAATGGGACTTGGGCCTGCATCTGGGGTCCAGGGCAGAAGCTGGGGAACTCCTCAGCTAGTACTGAAACAAAGTCACATACGCAGGAGGAATCCTCCAGCTTTGCTGACAAACCTCTCCTGCCCTTGCCATGTCTTTCCCCTCCAGAACCACTTTTTTATACCTGGAACAGTAGGCCATTGTGAGATGTCTCCTGAGGTAAAGGCTGGTCTCTAGTCCTGCTCTTTAGCTTCCCAGCTTGTAGGTGTATCAAAAGTCACCGAGGGCAGGAAGCAGTCCCACAAGCCTTCAATCCCAAAGGGGCAGTTGGAATCTGTGAGTTCCATACTGGCTTGGTCTATATAGTGAGTCCAAGGGGGACATGATGAGATCCTATCTAAAGCTCACTGGGAGGGCTGGAGACATAGCTCAAAGGTTAAGAACACTGGCTGCTCTTCCATAGACCCTGAGTTCAATTCCCAGCAACCACATGGTGGCTCACAAACCATCTATAATGAGATCTGGTGCCCTCTTCTGGTGTGCCAGCACATATGCAGGCAGAACACTATATAAATAATAAGTAAATCTTAAAAAATAAAAATACAGGTCACTGGGAACCTCTCCCACAACCTTCTTCAATAGGACATTGTTCAGGATCAGGGAAGGGGCTGAAGCCTCAAGGGCTCCTCCCTTCCCCGTGCTGGGACTCATTAGGGGAACCAGGAACCTCACCTAGCAGCAACCCATTACATGCTCAAATGAATACCGAATACCTGGTATGGACTATGGGATGTTGCTATGACAGGAAGTCAGGACTTCACTAGCTTGAGTGCTGAGAGGGGAAAAAAAATCTTCCAGGCCTTTGTCTGTAAGCTGGAGACCTGGCAGTGCTGAGCTGGCCACCCCCCCCCCCAGGACCTTGTGCCCACTGGATGACTCACCTTGGCATAAACACAATGGTCAGGGGTGGGCACACAGCCTGCTTTCCGCTGTACTCCAGGCACCCTTCGATGCTTTCCGAGAAGTCCATTGAGCTGGGAGCTTGTACTGCACCCGAGGCTGACATCCTGGCATCTTGGGATAAAAGCAGCCCAGGGGGCTGCCCTTCCCGCATGTCTCCCTCATTGGCAGCAGAGAACAAGGCTCTATTCAGCAAGTGCCCTGGAGTAGAGACCAGAAGCTCGAGCATGGGCAGAAGGCAGGGGTTGAGGGGGGAGCAGAGCTGTCTGTTTTCCAGAAGCCCAAGGGCACAGATGGCTAAGGCGCCTGGGAGCGACCTGAGTGGAGGGGATAATAGGCCTGAAGTCTCAGTGGCAACAGTATCCTCCCTGCCATAGATGAGGGTGGATTTTGGTTTCCCAGGCCTACATGTCCCCCTGAGGCCTGATGTGTGGGAACCAGAAGGAGATAAATCTGCTGGGAGAAAGGGATGACCAGGGAGACAGGGTGTTACAGAAATGACTCCAACATGCACAGCCAACTCATTTATAACTACTTGGGGAGCTGTCAGCTGGGCCAGGCTCTGGGAGGGACAGAGGGAAGCTGGACCAGGGAGAAATGGCCACAGAGGGGCACAGAGAGGAGGCCTGCTCTCTTGCCCTATTAGGGTCTGCACGCATTCCTTCTGTCATGACCCCTAAATACACGGCTAGAGGTTGGAGTTGACCCTGAGAGTCACAGGGAAGAGCCCCACCCAGCCCTCTACTCCAGAATGCCAGGGATGAAAAGACAGCAGTGGAGGGGCTCCAAGGAGAGGACTCTGGACGTCTGTTGGGAATGGGAGTCAGCAGGAAACTGTAATGTAGGCTGATCCTGGGTGGGGGGCCGTAGGTTCTTCAAGTTCCGAGCATCTCACAGGTCCACTGAGAAGTTTAGAGTGAGGGCAGCCCTGGTTTACAGGCTCTAACGGCTCACCCCTGCCCAGTTTGTGCTCTCTCTCTCCTCTCTCTCTCTGTGTGCTCGCACGCGCACACGTGTGTTCTCTGCACAGATGTTCGTGTGTGCGCACGTACATTGCTCCTCAGGCACTGTTGCCTTGGTTTTCTGAGACAGCCTCGCTCCCTGGGGCCTGGAACTCACCAATTAGTCAGTGAGGCCCAGAGATCCTGCTGATTCTCATTCTCCCAGCCCTGGAATTACAAGTTTGCACTGTCAAACCAGGCCCTTTGTATTCATTCTGTGGCTAGAACTTGTGTCTTCATGCTTGACAGGCAAGCAATTTATGGACTAAGCTGTTTCCTCAGCCATTCTATCCCTCCCTCGTGATCCATCTTACCAGAAAGGGGAAGGTCTCCCTGATCACTGGTGAAGCCAGGCTGGTGTGCCCAGGGAAGCTTTGACTCTGGGTACAATGACCTCAGTGGGATGAGAGGAGCTCTCCCCATAGCTGGGCTTGGGCCCAGCTCCACCCCCTCAGGCTATTCAATGAGCGCTCTCAGGCAGTCAGGGCAGAGCCAGTCCAGCCCACTCCTCCATAAAGCCCTGACATCCCAGGAACCAGCTGAGGCAGGGCAGAATGGAGCGGAGACGCATCACCTCTGCAAGACGCTCCTATGCCTCCTCCGAGACGATGGTCAGGGGCCTGGGTCCTAGCCGCCACCTGGGTACCGTCCCACGCTTCTCACTGTCTCGGATGCCTCCTCCACTCCCCACCAGAGTGGACTTCTCCCTGGCCGGGGCGCTCAATGCTGGCTTCAAGGAGACCCGGGCCAGTGAGCGTGCGGAGATGATGGAGCTCAATGACCGCTTTGCTAGCTACATCGAGAAGGTCCGCTTCCTGGAACAGCAAAACAAGGCGCTGGCAGCTGAGCTGAACCAGCTTCGAGCCAAGGAGCCCACCAAGCTGGCTGATGTCTACCAGGCAGAGCTGCGGGAGTTGAGGCTGCGGCTGGACCAGCTCACTGCCAGCAATGCCCGGCTGGAGGTTGAGAGGGACAATCTTGCACAGGACCTCGACACCCTGAGGCGGAAGTGAGAAGCGGGGGGTGGGGGGGGATAGGGAAAACAGCTAGTGAGCAGTGAGACTGAACAGAGAGGGGTGCTCATCAGGAAGGCTACTTCCTCCAGCAAAGGGCTCAGCCTCTCAGCCTGGGAAAGGGAGAGAGCTATCTTTGCTCCCCAATAGGATGGGGATAGCCAGGAAGAGACAAAACTTCAGGGATCTGATTCCCAAAGCTCCCAGGGAGCTGGCCACCCTGGACACCTTTAATTCTGGGCAAGGCTGTGTGGGTAGAGAGAGGGCGCCAGCCAGCAGGTGCTTCACCTTTCCAGTCACTTGGCACTGTGAATGGCCAGAAGGGTTTGTGTCCACAAGGAGGCTCTGGTCTCCGAGGAACACGAAACACAAGAAAGAGCTGACAGGCCTGGGTGCAGGACCCAGATGACCCTGTCCCCAGCTTTTGATTCTGCTCAAGTCATTTTTGGTTGGCATAGCTGTAGATTAGTGGTCATGACACAACTGTCCTAAAAGACAGTGCCCAAGTCACACTCTGGGGCATGGTGCTTTGTATGTGTGTGTGTGGGGGGGGGCATTTGTGTATCCCTCTGGTACAGGAGGTGCGCTGGTGTTTGTGAGAGGGAGCACACGGCAGTGGATGCTCTTGTGTGAGCAAGAGCAGGTGCGCCAACCCTGATAAGGCGCCTCAGTAATGAGTTAAGGCAGAAGCCCTTATCTGCTCGCTCTCTCAGCCAAGGCCTCTGTCTAGGAACCCACTGTCGATTACCTCTCCTGCCACTCTACGGGTCCTGTGAGAGTGTTTTATGACAATCACCTCCAGAGAGGTTGGGACAGGGGTCCAAGGGTCCCCAGGAAAGCCTAAAGCCCACACTGTGCCCCCTACCCCAGGCTCCAAGATGAAAACACCCTGAGGCTGGAGGCAGAGAGCAACCTGGCTGCCTACAGACAGGTCAGAGAGATGGAGAGGGAGGGATGGGTGGGTGGGGCAGCCCCTGAACTTAGCCCTCCACAGCAGCTTCCCAGATCCCCACAAGGAGGGGGTAGACAAAACCGAGATCTGGAGGTCAAAGAGGCCCTCTCCCCACTCCAGGAGGCAGATGAAGCCACCATGGCCCGTGTGGATCTGGAGAGGAAGGTTGAGTCGCTGGAGGAAGAGATCCAGTTCTTGAGGAAAGTTCATGACGAGGTGAGGCTCAACAAGAAACTGCAAGTGAGAGGCAGAGAGACAGAGAGATACTCAGAGCAGAAAACAGAGAAACCAACCGTCAGGAAGAAAAAAAACATGAGAGAGAAAACATAAAGACAGAGAGACTAAGGGAGAGCACAGGGCCAGGTCTCTGGTTTCTTCTTCACATCAGCTCTGTGAGCCCTTCTCACACCGCCTTTCACAACAGGGAGGACACTGAAGCCAAGTAAAGTTAAGACACACCCCAAAGACACACAGCCCCTCCGGTTTCATCCTCTCTCCCACCTGTCTCCATCAAGATGTGAGACATTCATGAAAACCCCACTGAGGACATGGTGGTACCCATCTCAACACTTGGGAGGTAGAGGCAGGAGGCCCCAAGTGTTCAAGGCCAATTTCAAGTCTTGGGAGCAAGATAACCTCAAACTCTCATTCCATGCCCATTGGGAGTTTACTTTTTGACAAGGTCTCACTGTGTAGCCTTTGGCTGGCCCGGAGCATGCTATTTAGCCCAGGCTGGCCTCAAAACCATAGAGGCCCGTTCCAGCCTCCCACATGCTGGGATTAAAGGTGTGTGCCACCAAGCCTGCCATACGCCCATTAGGTTAGCATGGGCACACTTTTTATATCTATTTTATTTTGGTTTCTTATGCCTCTACCTCCCTTCTCCATCCCAACCCCTTCCAACACCCCAACACCAGGTAGGAGAGAAAGAAGGTTAGTGGAGAGAGGGGAAGGAGTTCTTTTTAGCTACTTCCTGCTTGTTAGGGTTGTCAGGTTCCTTAGGGCAAGTCCAATCTTCATTTCAGGATAGCTCCAACTTCTTCTCATCAAACTGCATCAAGAGCAACCAGGAGCAGCAGGTGGGGCAGCAGCCTTCTTTCTCAGAGCCCCCTTCCTCTCTCTCTGGGTTCTGGCATTTATTTTCTCTCAGAATTAAGCTATCTGCTGCTGGCAAAGAGCCCCCTTCAGAGCCTGCATGAGGCAAATAGTCTGCTGTTGTGTACATGAAGCAACCCCATAGCCCACACCTGGCATCAAAGCAAAACTATGTCTACAGTAACATAACTTGGGTTCTCTAAGACACCAAAACTTCCATAAATGGGTAGGCTAGGCACTTCCTTCAGTGAGGGCGGCCCCATTTCTCTGAGCCAATGTTCAGAGAAGTGTGAGGTCAAGAGAAACGCAGCCTGGACCTGAGACCTGAGCCTCTATTCCCCTCCTTTTATCCCCTTAGGAAGTTCGAGAACTCCGGGAGCAGCTGGCCCAACAGCAGGTCCATGTGGAGATGGATGTGGCCAAGCCAGATCTCACAGCAGCTCTGAGAGAGATTCGCACTCAATACGAAGCAGTGGCCACCAGTAACATGCAAGAGGCGGAGGAGTGGTATCGGTCCAAGGTACGTGTGGGCCCGCCTGCCTCTCCAGGCAGCCCTTCCTTCCTCCATCAAGGAAGCTTGGAAAATAACCTGAGTGATCAGTCTCGCCCGGAGAGATGACCTGTCCAGAACCACAACCGCATTACTGCTTTCCAAACTTCTCATTGTGATTGCTATTGCCTTTAATGAGCAAGGTTAATAAGTTAACTAGCTTGCCCGATGACCAATTTAAGAGATTTTTTTTCTCAGTCCTAACCCGTCTCGTTAGAGAGCCTGCCTTTGTGATGACTCTGCCAGTCTATGTCCTATGTTACTGAACGTCTACTGCGTGCCAGGTACTTTGAAGATACAGAGGAACATTTGGTCAGACGATGTCAGTTTATACAGACAATAGGCAACAGGGAAGATGGGGGGGGTGGGGCTTGTGTTAGACAGGCAGCCCCCGAGGGAGACTCTGGTGGAAAACAGGCTCTATGAGGAAGCCTGAGACAGAAAAGCACAAACAAGGGACCAGAGATGCTGCTGGCCCAGTAAACCAAGTCCAGTGTGACAGCCTGGGCAGTATGAAGGCCTGGAAAGTCCCTGGGTTGTAGTTGCTGCTCCTGGGAGAGAGACCTTCGTTCCAGAGGTCGTATATATCCCCCGGTCTGTGCTCTGTGTCATTTGAAAGGCTCCCATCCTCCCCTCAACTTCAGGTCCTCTCGGCTTAGTTTGCAGACCTCACAGACGCTGCTTCCCGCAACGCAGAGCTGCTCCGCCAGGCCAAGCATGAGGCTAATGACTACCGCCGCCAGCTACAGGCCTTGACCTGTGACCTGGAGTCTCTGCGTGGCACGGTGAGCAGCTGCCACCCAAGAGGGGAGGAAGTGGGGGCAGGGCAGAGTGGGCGAAGCCGGGGAAAAGATCTGAAAAGTTGGAGATGGGGTAGGGAGCCGAGAGGAGGGGGGCGGGGTCAGGGCCTCGAGGCCAAGCGGATCAGTCGGCCTCATCCTGCAGAACGAGTCCCTGGAGAGGCAGATGCGCGAACAGGAGGAGCGCCACGCGCGGGAGTCCGCAAGTTACCAGGAGGCCCTCGCTCGGCTGGAGGAAGAGGGCCAAAGCCTCAAGGAGGAGATGGCCCGTCACCTGCAGGAGTACCAGGATCTACTCAACGTTAAGCTAGCTCTGGACATCGAGATCGCCACCTACAGGAAATTGCTGGAGGGCGAGGAAAACCGGTGAGCGCTAGGGAGCTCGGGGCCCACTGCCGCTCTGAAGCCCTCTTGTTCCTCCCAGTACTCAGGAGCTAGCCTTGCATCCGCTCCCACCTGCAGTGTTCAGCCTGCCACAGTAGGCATTCGAGAAATGTCTGAAGAATAAATAGATGGGTCAATCAGTATTATTTCCCAGGGCTGAGAACTTGAGTTATTCCCCAAACTAAGGGGCTCACCCCCAAGCCTTGACAATAAAGATGGAATTTCCTGTGGCCTGAGGGGTTTGTTCCACCTCCTTGGAGCTATTGTGACAATTTTTTTTAATACCCCATCTCTAAAACCTCCACCCTCCTTCCTGAAGGTGTTTCCAGCTCCTGGAGAGTGTTGGCTGCTGGGTTGAAAGTTAGGTGGTGGGGGCCCCATAGTAGCACTCCAGTTCCAGGGATCCAACACTATCGTCTGCCCTTATTTATTTATTTATTTATTTATTTATTTATTTATTTATTTATTTATTCATTCATTCATTTATTTCTATCCATCTATCCACTATCTATCTATCTATCTATCTATCTATCTATCTATCTATCTATCTATCATCTATCCATCCATCCATTTTTGAGGGCACAGGGCTTTAAATCCAAGCACTTGAGAGGAAGAGGCAGGCAGATCTCTGTGAGTTTGAGGCTAGGCTGATCTCTATATTGAATTCTAGGCCAGCAGAGACAGCATAGAGAGACCTTGTCTGAAAGAGTTGGTGGCGGGAGAGCATAGAGAGACCTTGTCTGAAAGAGTTGGTGGTGGGAGAGGGAGAGATGAGAAAGGAGGGAGAGAGAGAAGAGGAGAGAGAGAGAAGAAGAGAGAGAGAGAAGAGAGGAGAGGGAGAAGAGAAGAGGAGAGAGAGAGAAGAAAAGAGAGAGAGAAGAGAGGAAAGGGAGAAGAGAAGAGAGGGGAGAGAAAGAAGAAAGAAAGAGAAAGAGATTGCTTGATTGATTAGGGAATGGAGTCAGACTGGCCTGGCAAAAGCTCTTGAGCTATTCATGCTGGCCTTGGACCAGAAGCTTGCCTGGGAATGTCCTAGGGTGACATCATCATCCCTACCTTCCTCTCTCTTTCAGCATCACCATTCCTGTACAAACTTTCTCCAACCTGCAGATCCGAGGTCAGTATAATGGGGACTTGTGGGAAAGGGCACTGAATTCCCACCTCCTCCCAGGCCTGTGAACTTACTCTTGGGGACTTGTGGCAAAGGGAACCTTCATGACCCTCCACTGAGATCCTAGACAGAGCACAGCAAGCCAGGGCACGTAGCTGTCCCTGTCTCTCTGCCCTGTGTCTTCACCTCTAGCTGAACCCTTGCAAAACCTGGTGCTAGGTCTGAAAGCCACGAACAAGCTTTGCCCTTCTGAGTGTTTTATGTTATTTCTTTTTAACTGCTTGTCACTACAGGGGGCAAAAGCACCAAAGAAGGGGAATCCCACAAAGTCACAAGACACCTCAAAAGGCTCACAATACAAGTTGTGCCAATCCAGGCTCACCAGACTGTAAATGGAGCCCCGCCAGCTCTTGGTTAGATAAACGTCTTTCAGTCATGCACGCTCCCCGGCTTGACAGGGAAAGAGCCTCGGCAAGTCTGTTTCCCTGGTCCTCTCAGCCTCCTTCCTCCCAGGCCTCCTCTGAAAGGACTGGGACCATGTCCTTTTTTCCAGAAGCTTCAGTGCCCAGCCCCAGTCCTGGCTCTGTGCGATTAGATTATACCAACAGAACGGGCTAGCCTATGTTAAACGTTAGGTTATACTAACAGGGCTAGCCTATGTTAAAGGTGGCATGTCCCTGCAAGCTCAAAGGAGATGCTCTGAAGCCTCCGAGCAAGTGCCAGCCTCTGCCTCACCTCTTTCTGTCACTAGGCGGTCCCCTTGGGTCTTGCAGTGCCTGTGGGCTGGCTCTGTTTGATTCATGCGTCCTCTGCTGCTTCACTCAGTGCTGATTCAGCCCAGAGGACGAGTTCCCTCTGGACTGCTGTTCTTGCAGTGAATAAAGTTTTATGTTCCCTGCTCGTCATTTTAAATATTAGCGAGTGTGACATGTTATATTTTTCTCTCTAAGGGGAGGGGGTGGGCCAAATTATTTCTTAGTGGTATGTGGCCCTTTAATGATTCTCAGATTCAAGGAAAATTTCCACTTAGGAAAATTGGCCGTGCATATTTCAGGGTGTCATTCAGCATTAGAAAGTTAATTATTGCTGACCATGGAGAGGTAATAGTGCGAAATGCTAGACAGTCAAGGGTCACTAGAGTTCAGATAAGTGACAGAGAGAAGCAGGGATGGGGAAGGGTCCCACAAGGATCAGTCATTAACCTGTGTCACGTGTCATCACACATCAGTTCGTTGCTGCCTCACCATGTCCTAAGGAAGCAGGCACAATGATCCCATTTTGTAAGAGAGGAAACTGAGGCTTCTTCCTTGGTGCAGCCCTCGGTTGTAAGGAAGCCGGGTTCCGGAAAAGAAGGCCGAGTTGGCCGCAGGACAGCAGCAGGATGTTTCCAGTGCTGGGGGCATTTGGGAGTCTCCAGCCACTTTGGAAGAGCCAAGGCTTTCCCTGCCTAGCTAGATAGCCCCGTATTCATGACCCCCAGAGCATGATGGGGAAAGTTGGGTACAGGACAGGATGTCTAGTAGCGCAAGAGCCCATGGAGACCTCCTCTCCTCACACCCGCAGAAACCAGCCTGGACACCAAGTCCATGTCAGAAGGCCACCTCAAGAGGAACATCGTGGTAAAGACGGTGGAGATGCGGGATGGTGAGGTGAGGAAGGGTTCTGGTTGACCCACAGGAGTTCTTGAGACTAGATTGGAGAAAGCCTGAGACTAGCTCACTGAAGTTCCTTATTAACTAGCTACCAGGGGCTCCCAGTGGAGCTCTGGAGGAAAGGATGAACCTGGAATGTAATGCCCCTTCCACAGGCGGTGTGCCAAGGGCAACCTGAGTACCAAGGCCATTTGATGGTCCAGCTCTGACTGGGACAGTCAGGGAAAGAGAAGCCGTGCAACTTTTACTCAAAGGAACTTTCCAGAGAGGAATTGGAAGGGGAAATAGATATAGCATGGCCTTCTCCACATGTTGGGGTGGCGGCGGCAATAGCTACTCATGCCATGGTGTCAGGCATGACATTAAACGCTTTACAAGTGGTATCTCACAGCCCAGTTTGGCCACAGCGTGATGTAATTACAGTGACAATCAAGGAAGACAGATCCAGGACGGCTGGGGACTTGCCTCAGGATGCAGTTTAGAGCGGTGGGCCTGGGATCTGCATGAGCCCCTAACTGAACGCTGTGCACCTTCCCTGTCCCTGGCAGGTCATTAAGGAGTCCAAGCAGGAGCACAAGGATGTGATGTGAGGTGCGCCCACCTGGCGCCCCGACCCCCCTCGCCACACAGTGTGAGAGCCCAAAGCTCCTCCTCAGATAGTCTTGTTTTCCCTGCACAAGTCTCAACCACGTTAGCACTCCCCGTCCTTTTGTTTTTATGACTGTCTGCTGCCCTAGGCTCCATTAGTACTGAGCTTGACAGATGGCACATGCCCGGCACCTCCAACTAACAGGATACTCACCCCAAAGGGGCCGGCAACTGGGTTAGAATTGGAAGGAAAGACAGGCAGGGCAGGGAGACTTAACAAATCATTTCCTTCACCCTTGTTGTTATGGAAACTGTTGCCAGAGCTGGAGGTCTCCGGGAACTGGACTTTCGAGTTTCCATGGGCTGCTGGAGGAAGACAGAAAGTCAGAGAGAAAGGGAGAGTCCCCAAGGCAAAGGAGCTCTAGCCAGAGATGGACACATCCAGAATAACCCTGACCGATCTAGGAGAGGGTAGGGCAGACCTGCTTCTCGGAGTGGCCACTGAGGCAGTCCTCAAGGGCCCTCCAGAGTGTCTCAGCACCACTGAGCAGCCCTGCAGGTCGACCGCCCATGAGCATGTGGACACTCGGTTCTCAGCACTTGGCGGGGGCGGGGGTGGGGGTGGTCTTTAGCGTAAGTGGAGAGGGAAGTAGGACTGAGAGGGGTAGAGGTGGGCTGCCTGGCCTCTAAGTGTGGCTGCAGAGAGGTCAAGCCCAGAAAGGCTCCCGTCCTCAGGCTGCAGGGGTGCCGGTAGTGGAACGAGAGTCTTCAGACACTGGAGTTGGACGCTGTAGGCAATTACGCTTGGCTCTGAGTCCTGGGAAGCAAGGAAGTGACATTCTCTTGAGGACGCTGGGGAGAGAGGGACTTCTGTCCAGTGGGCGGGGTGCACCTGTGTCTCACTTGTGAAGGTCTATTCCTGGCTGCACAATCCTGTCACTCCGTATGACCGCTGCCTCCCAACCCTCACGAAACCACAACCATCCTCCTGAGACTCTCCATCCCGCAATTACTAGCTGCTGTTCTCTAAGCCAAGGGCCTGTGCCCTTTCTTATGCGTATACATAACACTAACCTATAGTTCTTGGCATCACCCTATTTGACAATTTGAGAAACTGAGGCACGAGCCAAGTAAACTGGCGTACTCAAGCAGCCTGGAGGCAACGCCTTCATGACAGAGCACTCTCTCTGAGGCTGAATTGTGGGCAGGTGATGGGGAATTGTGCCCAGAGATGGGGCTGAAAGTGTCCATTCCATTGTCCTTTCCTCCCTTCTAAGGTCAAAAAAGGGAAAGTGGGTCCCCTCCCTCTTCCCAAGACACTGTACCCTCTCCTCCCACTCCTTGCCACCTCTGCTAACCTTCAGAGCAGTGCTCTGACCTTCACTCCCTGGGGAGAAATAAAGACACATGCTGTAGCCTTCCTCAGAGTGTCTCTGATTTGTTCAGAAGGTGGGGTGAGGAACCAGACAAGACCCAGCTTGCTTGTTATCAAAGAACGTTCTGAGATCCTAGACCTCCATAGCAGCGGCTCCATGTCAAATCTCACCTCCAACAGAGCCCTGGTGCCTCGGCCTTTGCTCCAACCCCTTTTCTCATCCCCAGTGACTCCAGCCTGGGTGCCATCATTCAAGAAAGTCCTGTGTTTGATCTCCTGGTTTCTGGTCCCTGTCTTTTGTTTAGTTTTGTTTTTGTTTTTCGAGACAGGGTTTCTCTGTGTAGCCTTGGCTGTCCTGGACTCGCTTTGTAGACCAGGCTGGCCTCGAACTCACAGGAATCTGCCTGCCTCTGCCCTCCCCGAATGCTTCGATCACAGGCATGTGTCACCACCCTGGTTCTTGGTCCCTGTCTTTACCCTCATCTTCACACTTGCTGCTCTGCTCTTCTCAGAACAACTGAAAGCACAGAACACAGGCCGGCTCCTTCCCTCCACTTTTCTTTCTTCTCCATCCCATCCCCACTCTCATCCAGTTCGACCAGGGCCTAGCAGTAGTCCTCAGAGTCAAAGCACTTCCGAGGTCAACAACACTGACAGGTGATCTGATGGATCAGCTCACTTCCTTTTGTGTGAAGCAAGACGTGGTGTGTACCTGGCCGCTTCCCTCCTGACTTCAATCTCTGACCTGCCTCAGGCTCTTCCCTTTCCCAGGTTAGACCCAGGGTTCTCCCATAAAAATGGCGGCGGGGGGGGGGCAGGTTGTAGCTAACAGACTTGCACATCACCTTGTCCTGTGCCCCAGCCCAAGGTGTCCACCCAGAAGCATCTGGTATCATTCGACAAACATATTAAAACACAACTGGTCCTCACAGCTGGACCAGGGAATCGGGGGCGAAGTTGGGACAACAGCGAAATGAGTAGCAACAGCAACGACAGACATGAATGGTGACAAAGGCCGCTGTGATAAGTGCATAGCCTATCAGGGTGAACTCCACAGCGGTGCGAGTCTCGGGGTCTGAGAGCGAGGCTGGGTAGTGCCCTCGAGATGTTACTCCCAACCGGAAGCCGGCGATTTTCATCCCTTGCCGCCAGCAGTAGTAGATGCCCCGGTCACTCAGCCGGGTGAAGCGGATGTGGAGATGGTTGCCATGGTCAATGAAAACTCTCATGGATCTGTTGACACCTTTTAGGTACTGTGTGCGGTACAGGGGCTGACCGTCCTTGTCCCAGGCCACAGCATGTTCTGGCCTGGCCCCGGGACAGGAGATGATGAGGCCATGGCCTAGTCTCTGCTGATGGAATTGAATGGGCACCTGAGGCAGCCAGGGCCGGCTGCCCAGTTTGGCCACATAGTTGATGATTGCTAGCATGCCCTTCTGGATATGATTCTTCTTACAGGGCACTTGGCAGCTCTGAATCAGCATTTCAGGTGTGTGGTACTTGGTCTTGGTGTGCAGTTTCCTTGGCACAGCCCGAGAGCCACAGGACACTACATCAGGCATTGTCTTGAGATAGCGAGGGGAGAGGCCAGGGTTCTGCAGGTAGCAGAGTCCAAAGCGCCACTGTTCCCCATGCACCCCACAGCGGTCACAGGGCGTCCACTCCCAGAAGGTTGTAAAGACATGGAGATCCCCATGGTACTCATCTGACAATGGCTCCTGGCCCTTGTCCTTGAAGGTGGCCACTATTCCCTTATTGCTTTGGATGTCCACATCATAGGCATAAAAATAGTCCCCCTTGCGGGTACCACAGAAATACAGGCCCGTGTCCTCTGGCTGGGCACGGAACACTAACAAGTTGAACATGCGGATGCTGAAGCGGGCCAGCATGCTGCTGCCGACTCGAACGTAAGCCGCCTCTGTAAGCAGCCTCCCGTCGAAGTCTGTGAGCACTGTGGTGTGGCTGCTCCCCAGGTGCTTTTGGTAATACCAGACCACGGCCGAAACATCCTCGGGTTTGCAGTGACAGGGAAGCTCAAAGCTCATGTCAGCCAGGTAGGCAGCATTATCAAACATCAGGAAAGCAGGACAGGGTGTCCTCTGAAAAATGTTCTCCTTCTCCACAATTTCAAAGGCCTGGACATGGCCCCATGCCCACAGGAGCACAGTGATGTGGGCCAGCCTCATGCTTGTAAGGAGGAGGGCCTTGAGGGGGTTAGGGCAAATTGCCAAAGCCCTGTGGCATTTTAGAAATCATTGCTGAGAGGAGGCCACGGGATAAAGAAAGGTTCGACCAGCCAGGAAAAGAAGCAACAAACTGCAAAGGAGAGAGCCAAGTTCAAGGCAATTTATTCCCCAGCTGAATTACAAGATGCTGTTCTAACATGCCGGGACCGATCTCAAGGGAAAAGTCATTCTAGAACCTAGCACACTCTCACCTTTCTAGAACTTTGGCATTCACCCAAGAATGGGTCACAGGAAACTAGAATGAGCTGTGAGCACCCTCTGCCCTGTCTTCCCAAGAGAACATCTTTTCATCAATCTGAGAGATAAGAGAAACCTCTCTTGCACAGCTGGTCATCTGGGATGCTGGCCAGACCTGAGCCAATGGCTTTGGGATTTCCCAGGCTCAACCTGTGAAAGAATGAAGTCCCTGGGGAAGGGGGAGTTCTGCATCTCAAATGAAGGAGCCTTCGCTCACTGTTGATGAGCTGTTCATTCACTGACTCTGGGTTAGAAATATTCTGGTTAAGATCAGTGCTTATCTGTTATTAAAGGTCATCGAGTTTGCTCTCCCCCCCTCCCAAGAAGAGGCTCTATGTGGCTAGCATTTAGTTGTAAACACATCCACCTCTCAGAGTTTGTGGGCTAGGGGCATGACAGACTTTAGGCGTGGGTAGCAAAACACTCTTGGCCCTTGGCTATCGTGGGGGTCCACACAGATACAATTATGTGTTGGAGACAAGCCCACTACTTGAAAAGGGAAGTGGGTGTGGGTTTCTCACAACAGTTCTTTCAACAACTCTGCAGAAAGCCCAACATGCCTTTTCAGAGGACCTGGGCTTGATTTCAGCACCCAGGTGGCATCACACAACCATCTGTAACCATGCTGCCAAAGGCTCCAACAACCCCTTCTGACCTCCTCAGGCACTGGGCCCCCACATGGTGGTCATCCAGACATGTAGGCAAAACACTCACAGATAAATGAAAACAAGTTTTTTTCAACATGCTTTGTAAGACCCCTGGGAAGGCTGAGGGCAGCCAGCCTTATCAGTGGACCCCATACAGCCCCCTTAGCTCCTGTAGGAGCCCTTCCTCTCCCTGTAGCACCATAGGTGGCTGTTCCATGCTGAGCCCCTCCTGCGTGGGTCCGGCGGCGCCCATGGCCTGCAGCTTCTGAAACAAGTGCTGGCAGCTCTCCCGCTCTGCATGGCTCAGCAGGCTCAGGTTCAAGGTGAACCGCCCGGTGTTAGCCAGGCTGTGCAGAATCCCCAGTACTGCCTCCCGGTCATCAAGCCTCACGTGCTCAGCCAGTGCCACCAGCAGCTCCCCAAGAAGTCCAAAGCCCACATCCGTCTGGAAGAGGTGGCCCAGCCTGGGACCCCCGAGCTGAAGCAGGGCTTGGTAGCGCTCTGGTCCACTTCTTAAGTGTCGCCGCCAATCACGGTAAAACTCTGAAGAGGTCGTGGGCTGGAAGGGTGACTTCTCCTGCGTTTCAAAGGGAAACAGGTCAAGAGCTCAGCCTGCTACTGTGCAGCTGTGATGGGGAGGGGAGTTATGAGTTTTCATCTTAGCTCTGCAATTGTTCTCTGAGCTCAGGGAAGGCTGGTCTCTGAGGCCTCATTTTCAGAGGAGGGAGCAGAGGAGGGAGGAGGGAGAAGAAAGGAGGGAAGAGGGAGGACAGGCCAAAAGAATCCAGGCTCTGATTTGAAGGTCTCCTTCGTACTGGGGTCTTCCTCCTGAGAAAGCAAGCATAGCTCTTGGCCTTTTAGAGTGAGCCAGAGAAAAGTGGAGGAGTTTGCTACAAATCTCCAGAAGAGAAAAAGAAATAAGTGTCAAGGATCTGACAGGCTGGGTCCCTCTCAGCCTGTTGCCTGAGAATATTGCCACAGGAGCACAATACTATCTACCACCTGACCTGAGAAGGAACCTCAGAGGACTGCTGAGTCCAATTCAACTCAGTCCAACCATCTGACTGCCATTCTGGAACCGGAGGGAAAAGCCTGCTTCTGTTGGCTTCTGAGACATAAAGTGGCGGTATGTGTTGTAAGAAGAACGGAGTCATAGCTTAAGCACAGAGAACTCCTGCCGGGCTAAGAAGCTGGCCTGCACCTACCTGGGGTATTTCAGTGGCCACATCTTGAAAAGTCCTTTCCTGAGTAGTGTGACAGTTCCAGGGCGCAATTCTCTTTCCTCCCATCTTGTCCTTCTGTTCTAGAGGTTTCAGGTGTGACGCAAGGACAATACCTCTGGGTCAACGACAGAGACCAGAGACGGGAGAATGAATTTAATGACCCTCTGAGTGTGCGGCAGCCGCTTGGTGAGACTTGACGAATAACCGGGCAACTACTACCTCTACAACGACAGTAGCATGGCTGGCTGATCGTACTCCCGCACTCCCAATGGACTACATACTGTGCTTAGGTACAACAACTCAGCCCTAACTCGAGCACCTATAACAACCATTTCTCTTTCACAGATAGACTTGAGTCTCAGACAGGTTACAGAGCTTGGGTAAGATCACCAAGTAGTAGACGGTGGGGCACGACAGAAGCCCAGAATGCTCTGCACCTACACTGCCTGCTTTTAACTTGGGTAGCCCATCACGACAGAAGGGCCTGAGAAAAACAGCCGCAAGCCAACCTGAAGTCCTCATAGGAAGGCACCCTTTGTTCAACTGCTCGCAGCTTGGCATCATTCTCCCTTTTGTACTTCTCATCAGCAGCAAGTGCGGCCTGCAGCTCTTTCTCCAAAGCCTTGAAGTTGATCACATCATTCTTTTCCATGGCTAAGTCCTGGGAAGGCAAGAAGTGCATCTCAGCAGAGGTTCAGTATCAGGGTAGAGATGATGCCTTGGGGTGCTTTGCCAGAATGTGAAATGACCCAAAGCAACCCGATATTTATCCCTGAGTGGTACAAATCTATAGTCTCCCCCCTTTACAGATGAAATGGGATTGCATGATGAAGACGTTTATGAGGATTCTCACTGAAAGCTGAACAGAAAGCTTCCGGCTGGAAGTCTTATTTTGTTCTCTGCTTCTAACAACACGTGAGACCTAAGGGCTAGCTTAGAAGTTTGTCTAGTCAGTGTCAAACCGTGGATTTGATGCCTAGCAAAACACGAAACAATTTTTGTACTTCAGCTGAAGAGGCATTTGGAGCTCAGAATTCTGACCCTTCATTCTTCCACATAGGATTTCTCTACAGCAGGTTATTGCCATAAAGGAACACACCACACACACACACACACACACAGACTCTTATTAGCTGCTCGAGCTCAAGAACAAAATTTCACACTTCACTAAATGTTTTTAATGGAAGAAAAGAAATATTTTCACCTAAACCAAAAGTGACTAAGCAGGTCGAGGAAGGAGAAGCGGTAGAAAGGAAAAGCTCAGTGGCCTCCATCTCCAAATCCACAGGTTGTGTGTGGAGGATGGCATCATCTACCATCCTCCCCCTGAAGTTCTGCTCCTCCGTATGACCCTAATGGGCTCTTTTCACAGGAATCTGTGTGTTCCCGTCTGGGCTCTGACATTTACTTAGGACACCTCTTTCCACCTCAGAATCCCGGTGAGCCGGAGTTAGACACTCATCACCAGCTCTAGGGCAGGAAATAAGGTGGTCCGCGAGCAACCATCCCCGAGCCCAACGAGGGGAAGTGGAACGCCAAGAAGTGGACCAACAACTGAACTCCAGTGTCTCAGATCCTGTGCAATATTTTGGGGTGAGGTCTCGCTATGGAGTCCAGGTTGTTCTCTCCAAAACTTTCGAGTTTATAATCTTTCCTCTAGGCTCAGCCTAGAGCAGCGGAGACTACAAACACCCGGCACCCGCCCACCCCCTCGTCGAGTTCCAAGCCTTTCCCAGTTATAGAATTACTAGAGCAATCCCCTTTTCTCTGTCCCTAGACCCTCACCCCGTAGGTCTTGGACCCCTTGCTTTCTTGCAGGGAAGCCCCGGACCTGTTAGAACACCTCAGGGCACCGCCCTCCCAACAGCGGTCGTTGCCTAGCAACGGCTCCACTAGCCTGCCCACGTGACCGGCCCGAAGGTCCCCTCCCACCGCCTTCAGGTTGTCCCAAGGCGCCTGATCTGATTCGTGAATCCTCCGGCCACGCTTTTCTCTGAAGCAGTTCGCGCTGCGTTTCCGGGGACGACTCGGCCTTCCCTGTCTCCGTCTCCGAGGCCAGCGTTCCTCGAACCCGTTCTTCAGGCAGAGGGCTGTCCTCCGAGGCGAGGCACTCAGCGTCGCGCTCGGGGTCCTTCCTGGCGACCGGCGCCGGCGTTACGTCGGCGTGCGGCGGAAGCGCGGGCTCAGGCGGCGGACCGGCGGCGCTCGGCCGAGCAGGCGGCGGGTGAGCTGGCCGGGAAGGGTGCCCCGGGGCTTGGGAAAGGAGAGAGACACGAGCTCGGGAAGAGGCGATTTATATAGTGTTTATCTCTTTCGCCTGGCGCACGCGTGAGTTGAAGCCTGGGGTGGGAAAAGGAATGAAAGACACCGGCCCCCCCCACACGCACACACCGAGGTTTCCGGGGTTTCCTCGATGCCCCGCGTGGTTAAATTTCCGTCCCTGAGTGGAGGTGGCGCTCTCATGGCCCAGACCCTTGCCACTCCCCCTTCTATCGGTGCCGGCTTTCACTGCCAAGTTGTCTCAAACTGTTTGGCATTGTAGCTGCCTGTGGCGGCTAATGCCCAATTCTCCCGCTCTGGAGAGAGAGGCAGAAAGGTTGCAACAGGTTCAAGGCCAGCTTAGGCTAAACTTTGAGTCTGGTTCAGAGAGCCAAAACAAAAAAGATTCTGCATTCCTTTGAGAATCTCTGTTGTAGCGGGAGGATGCAGGATTAGGTTTTAAAGATTAGCTTTGCTTAACTAAGCATGTCATTAATTCACACACACACACACCAAAAAAAAGAAAAAAAAACAAACAAACAAACAAACAACAAAACTTATTGAGGACCTATTTTGTGCCAGACACTGGTTTTCTTTTTGCTCTGATTTTATGATTAACATTTATAAGTTGCAGATATACACACCTTTCCCCCCTGAGTCTTATTCAAGCATAGCCTTTGTGTACTTAGGCTGGTAGAGTGTGGGGCCCAGGATTTGAACCTAAGCACACTGACTAAGAAATGAGTGTAAGGGGGCGTGGTAAGTGTATATATGGAGGGACTTTTTAGAGTGACAAATAGGTGACGTTAAAGGAGAGACGAGTTAAATGAATTTAAAAAAGGTATAAATAGCCAAAGCACAATGGGAGTCACAAGTGCGGTGGCCCTGAGGCAGACGTGATCTTGGCTTGTTCAGTAAACAACTTTCTGTAAAAGTTTGTGTCGTCGCTAGATGGGGGTCTTGGGAGAATGAAATGGGCGTAAATGTAGCAGCTTCTTAGACATAGAAACAGTAAGTGTGTGAGAGTGGCTTTAATTAGCAGTGATTAGCGCTCTAATTTTGTGTCTTATCCACAGTCAGTGCTCAGTAGGTCTCGTTGAGGTATTCAGTCTATTGCAAGAAATGCCAAGTTTTTTAAATTAAACATTCCATTCAATTAGCATTATTAAGTTTCTGTTTGTGCAAGGTGCTGTCCTCATACTCAGAGATGGTCACATTTTATGCTGACGGATATTGTTTGTTTGTTTGTGATTTTTTTGTTGTTGGTTTTTTTTGTTGTTTTTTGAGACAGGGTCTCATATATCTCAGGGTGGCCTCTAGGTCACTATGAAGGATTATAGGTGTAAGGCCCCATGCCCAGCGAATCATAGTTTGTGTGTCCCTGTGTGTGCATGTTTTTGTGTAGTGAGTGAGGGCTGTGGTATGCAGGTGGACATCAGAGAAAAACCTTCATGGTTTGGTCCTCATCTCTTGACGTGTTTTGAGATAGGGTGTCTTTATCACTGCCAATACATGGCTAGCTGGCCCTTGAGCTTCAGAAAAATCTCTGCCTCCCATATCGTGTAGGCCTTCTAGGATTATAGACACTCCTGCTACTGCATTTGGCTTTGTGTGTGGGTTTTCAGGATTGAACTCAGGTCATCAGGTTTGCACAGCAAAGGCTTTTACCGATTGAGCCATCTCCTCCACACCTTCATAAGTTTTTAGGCCATGATCATTCACTTTATTTTCTACTTGAAAAAAATACATATAAGGGGCTAGTAACTACTGTGAGTTACATCATTGTTAGAGATGAGGTTAAGTTATGATGGATCAAGGCTTTAACCCCAGAGGCCTGATGCCTCTTCAGTGCTCTAGTTTTTGTTGCTTGCAAATGTAGAGTGGTTGGTGAGACTAATAAATGGTTAACTAGCATTTAGGACAGAAAATACTGACAGAAGCGCAAAATGTTAGAGCATCACAGAAAAATGAGAAATTGAAGGTCTAGAAAGGTGGAATTTAAACTAAAAGCATTTCAGTAATTGAAGTGGGAAAAAATCTACAGTTCTTAGATAGGGAAAAAGAGTTATTTTATAATGAAAAGCCCGTCAGCTGCCACCATGTCTGTGGGATCAAGGTTAGCATCATCAATAAGGACAAGTTGTAACTGTGTACCAAAACCAACAGAGCATCCCTATTAGAATGTGTAGCTAGTCAAATGCAATGAAGGGATTTGAATGTCTACAAAGTCATTGGTTTGTAATCTTCATTGTGAAGTCATGAAAGTCAAGACTAAAAAAACATTCTCGATTAAAAGAGTAACGACTCCTTTGGGCAAGGGTACCATCCTGGTTTGTCTCCTTGGCTGTGTAGCTCATCACTGCAACAGTTTGTCAAATTTGGTGGGGCCTGTGCAGTAGGTAGAACAACTGCCAGTGTTAATTTTTTTTTTTTAATTTTGATGATTGTATTGTGATATTTTGAAAATGTTAATATTAAAAAGAAGAAGTGAGATGCTGGAGAGATGGCTGAGCATTTAAGAGCACCAGCTAGGTAGTCATGAAGACTGGGGGTAGGATCCTAGCACCCACGTGACAATCTTCATGTTCCCCAAAGGATCCAGTGTTGTCTTCTGATACATGTGCATACTGCTGCACCTAGACACACACACATATATATATATAAATTTAATTGATTAAATAAATTTTGAGAAGGGGAGGTAGGCTAGGCGGAGGATCTAGAATTCAAGGCCAGCTTGGGTAACAGTGAGAACCTGTCTTTAAAATTAAAAATAAAGCCAGGTGGGACTGGAGCCCTGGCTGCTCTTTCAAAGGATACAGGTTCTATTATCATCATCCACATGTTAGCTTACAACTGTCTGGAATTCCAATTCCAGAGGATTTGGTTTGTGTGGGTATCATGTGCCTATGAACATGGTACACAGATACACATACAAGCAAGACACCCATACACAGAAAAAAATGTACATAAGTAAAATAAAGCCAGGTATGGACATGTGTCTGTATTTCCAGCATTTAGCAAGCTAAGGCAGGAGGATTGGGAGTTCAAGGGCAATGTGTGTTGCCTAGAGTTTGAGGCCAGCTTGGGCAACAAAGAGGTCCTGTTCCTAAATAAATTAAAGGGTGGAGGTTGTAAATAGAATGAGCAGAGCAGGGAAGTGGAGAAAGTTCTCGACTGGGGACAGATTATTCGGTAGTTGGTCAGTCACCAGTTACCGCTTGAAGGGAAGGGAAGGTGGTGAAAGGCGACGACGGGTGTGGCACAGTTGTGATGCAGGCTTTCATTACCTGCCAGACCCTAACTTTTCTCTTCTTGAATTTTAGCATCATGGATACTGACTTATATGATGAATTTGGGAATTATATTGGACCAGAGCTTGATTCTGATGAAGATGATGATGAGCTGGGAAGAGAGACAAAAGATCTCGATGAGGTATAGCAAATACTGTTTTCTTTATTCCTCTCCTTTTAAAAAACAGTGTTCCCATAATAACCAGCATGTATCTCTAATACTGCCTTTTTTTTTTTTTTTTTTTTTTTTTTCCCCAAGACAGGCACACAGATAGTGTGCCCTGGCAGTCCTGGAACTCACTCTGTAGACCACGCTGGTTAAAAGCATGTGCCACCACCACCTGGGCAATGTTGCCTTTTTTTATAGCATGACTTTTATTGGGATCTTATATTGGGCCCTAAGAGTTCAAAAGGGGATATAAGGGAGTTTGGTTCATGAGGTGGGTTTATAACCTGAGCTCTAGTAATGGTTCTGTAATTGCTCTGAGTTCCTGGCAGTATCTTTTGACAGTCATGAGGAATCCCAGAATGGGAGTCAGCTGTATCAATGCTCAGATTTTAAAAGAGGTATACAAAAAGGGGATGCAGATTCCTACTACTTCAGTTTAGGAGTAGGAGATGAAGTACGGAATGGTTTGAGACTTGCCAAAGGCACTTTATTATGAAGCCAGGAGTGCATGTAACACTAGCACTTAGAAACAGAGGCAGGAAATAAGGAGTTCAAAGTCAGCCTCAGTTTTATGAGTTTGAAGAAAGTGTGAACTAAATGATCCTGTCTCAAAAAAAAAAAAAAAAGCTCTGTAGAATTAGTAAAATAATTTTTTTTTAAGGAGGAGGTACTATTTTATGTTTCTTATTCCAAATGCCTGACAAAAACCAACTAAAGGCGGAAGGATTTGTGGCTCTTGATCTGAAGGACTACATCGCTCATAGAGCAGCTGGCTCAGTGGCAACTACTAAGTCATATCTCAGGGTTCCAGGAATCAGAGGGGCAGAAAGCAGAGCCACACTGTAAGCCTCAAGGCTCCATCTTTCCAAAAGTTCCACAACAGCCTTAAACAATATTATCAACTGGGGACAAGTGTTCAAACATGGGCAAGTGAGAAGCATTTTGCAGTCAAATAGCAACAGGCACCCAAAATGGCTTTCATGTTTTAACATTAGTCAGAACATGATGAGTAAAAGAGTTAATGAAAGTAGGATCTCCTTGGGAAGAAAGATTTCAGTGGGAATGAGAGGGGGATGACTTCATCATATAATTGTATAAAACTGTCAAACAATGAAAAACAGCTTCTTAGCAGTAGATTAGTTTGGATTAGCAAGGAGGTATGAATTCATGGTACAGCAGAAAATGGGAACAGAGTTCTGGCTACCATTGGTCTCCATAAAGGACAATGTTGCTCAAGCTAGAAAAAAATAAGCACTAGAAAAAAAGTTGAAGCTGCT